CCAAATGTCTCATCTCCCATGAGCTGCGCAGGGAGGGAGGAGGTGGAAACTGACTTCCTCCCAGCTCATTAAGGACCCTGGACATGCGCAGTTACGTGTATGTTTGACTTGGATATACATTTTACTACGCATGTTTATAAAAAGGCCTTTTCCCACTGATGTTTCTGTCCCATGCCAGGTCTGAGCCAGCCTACCAAAAGGAGAGACCAAGATCCCTGAGCCAGCCGAGCCAGCAAGCTCTCTCTCCTTAAAGGGCCATGCCACCAGCCAGGAAAGCGGAGAATGTGGAAACACAGGGAAAGTGCCTTTCTCATACTTTTAAAGACAAGGCAGGTCTGGAAACGGGCAGGGCAGCTCTGCAGGCAGGTGACCAGTAACAGCAGGAAGAAACGTCCGGGCCAGGGCATCAACACAGACGAATCCGACAAGCCTGTGTTCATTCCCATTGTGTAGATGAGAAAACAGGCTCAGAGGCACGTGCCCCAGTCATGGGTCAGCGGAGCCCACACAATTCCCCCACTTGCATACGCCTTCTCCCAGGTGTTCAATCAACTACCAGGTGCTGATAGCTAGCCATGGTGGGGTACACCTGTGATTCCAGCATTTAGAAAGCTGAGGCAGCAGGATAATTGTGAGTTCTGAACTATGTAGTAGCCAGATTTGGTCTCAAAAAAACAAAACAAACAAACAAAAAGCCAAAACAAAAAACCCCTCTGAGTGGATTTTTGCAGATGTAATTGAAGTCCCAAATCACCTGACCTTGAGAGGAGGGGCTGGATTTAATCACCTGAATACTTTAAATTTCGGCCCAGATGGTAGATAGGAAATCAGGTTGGAAGCTTAGAAAATATTCAACTCAAATTCCTGGCAGGAAGATTAAGGGGGCTTCTAAGAGGCAAGGGGAGCCCTCTGCTCACCACCAGCAAGGAAATAAGACTTCAGTCCTACAATTTTGAGAATCTGAAGTCCGCTGATGAGCCGAAGGGGCTGGAAGCAGGCTCTGTAGGAGTCTCCTACAAGCTGGCCAGCTGACACCAAGCTCAGCAGAGAATCCAACCAGGCCGTCAGACCCCAACCCACGGAAGACAGGATGAGAAGTCTGTGTTGTTTTCATACATTTGTGGCAGTTTGTTATGAGTCTCTGATCACAGGTATCAAGTACCAGTCCCAGCTGTCACACCTCCCGATAGCTCTCCAGGAGGGCTATCACAGCCTCCTGAGGGCCCTGTAGGACACTGTTTCTGCTCTCTACAAGAGCTGTACGAGCACACAAAGGACTGGCCTTGGAAGTCCTTAGGCGATTTTAGGTCCTGGCCTAACCGGGACTCTTTCGTGGGTTACACACGGTTAACTTTGGTCACCGGTGCATTCTAGCCATGTCACTGATGGAATGCTTTTTGTATTTTTTGCTTTGAGACAGGGTCTCACTATGTAGTTCAGGATGGCCTTGAACTCACTATGTAACCCAGGCTGGCCTTAAACCCACAGTGGTCCTCCTGCCTCAGCCTCCCAAGTGCTGGGATCAGAGGTTTGTGCCACCACACTGACAACTGATGTAATGTTGATGTTCACCTTGGTCACCTGGCCAAGGCAGTGTGTCAGGTTTCCCCACTGTAAGCCACTCTGCACAGCCCACCCTGAAGGAGAGGAAGCTTCTCTATTTCTGTTTCCTAACTGGCCATGCTACCAGGCACACCAGTCATATTTCAAGTTCTCAACAGCTCCACAAGGCCAACGGCCTTGTGTTAGCGCAGCTCTGTCCCATTTGGGGAGAAGCAAATGTTCTACTCACCCACGTGCCAAGCACATCACTGTTTACTTAGTATCTGACTGGAAATGGACTCACTTTAGACAAGGGAACTTGGTATCACCTCCTGACATCCTTGGCAGCAGCCCAGCCCTGAAGAAGGTCTGGGATGCTGGGGAGGGAGATGGCCAGGTTCCTGCGTGTTGGCTTCTCCTCCTCCAAGGCCTTGGGGCTGAGTGGCTCGTACTCCTAGTCTTCAGGACTCCAGGCTCCCTATAGAGGAGGCCTCCACCAGTGCTGTGGGCATCGGCTCTGACTCCTCCTTCCCAGGGTCTCTAGCCCAGGGAGTTGCAGATCTCAGCTGCAAACCTGTTGGATTAGAAGAATCACCCAAGGGCTTTAAAAATATATATTTTTCGAGACAGGGTCTCACTATGTAGTTCAGGCTGCCCTTGAACTCACTGTGTAGCCAAGGCTAACCTTAAATTTGTGGCAGTCCTCCTGCCTCAGCCTCCCAAGTGCTGGGATCACAGGTGTACACCTCTGTGCCTGGCTAAAAGCTTTCTAAATGCTTAGATCTCTCTGATCCCAGCCCACGTGGATTCTAACTAAAATGTGGCCTCAGGTGGGGCGGATAATCACCACATTCAACAATAAAATCGAGTCCTACCTGCAGGAAGGCCAGGCTTGGCCATAACTGGAGGACATCTTCACCTGTAAGGGGGGCCCAGGGTGCGCTGGGAGACCCTAGGGCAGGGCCTCACTCTGTCAGTTGAAAACAGGCACTAGCAACTGCTGGATGGAAGCCCTGGTTCTGCCTGGTCTTCATTTCAGTTAGATGCAGACAGATCTTTTAAAGAAATGTTTCTCCATCCTCTTTGGCCAGCAAGAAGGGAAGCTTGAGTTTAGTATTTTCAAAAGTACTAAACTGCTGCTACTTTTTTTCTTCTCCATGCTGGGGATTAAGCCCAAGGCCTTATACATGCTAGGTGAGTGCCCTATCATCGCGCTCCATCTTCAGCCCTTTGAAAATTTTGAGGCAGGGTCTTGCTAAGTTGCCCAGGATGGCCTTGAACGTGGTCTCCTCCTCCCTCAGCCTCGTGAGTAGCTGGGATTACACGTGCACTTGCTTTTTCTTATCTTTCTTGTCTATGTCTTGTGCTGCTCCCTTGGATCAGAAGAGAACTAGACTGCACCCTCCAGGTGGCTGCCCATGGTTTGGGGAGCAGGTAACTTGCTTCATGAGCTCTCCAGGGCCACAGATGAACAGGATGGACAGCACCTGGAGCTGCCCGGTGGCAGATGGAGATGATGGAGATGAGGACAGTTGGGAGGTCTGGGGACTCTGAGTTGAAGCTGTGTTGCAGTGAGGCACCAGACCTTGGGGCTTAACCTGCTCTGCACAGATGCACATCTCTGGGGGCCGGAGGGCAGGCAGAACACCCTTGTGCTGGAATGATGAACCTGTGAATGTTACTTTGGTAGCAGAAGTGGCCTTGCAGATGTGATTAAATAAGGGCCTTGAGATGGAGAAATTAGTCAGGGTGCATACAGGGGAGATGAGGCCTGATGAGCATCAGAGAAGACACTGCGTGTGCAGGAAGCAGTTACGTGTCTTGGTCACGTGTCTTGTTCTGGGTCCCCAGAGCCTTCAGCACACAGCCGCTCAGTGTGTGCTTGGTAGCAGAAAGGCCAAGGAAACACATTTTTAAACACCTGCTCAGCCTGCCTGGATTCTGGTCATCAGCCTTGTGAACAAGCTATTTAACTTCTCTGACCACAATCATCACTCCTCTCCAGATTAAGAAGGCTCGATGAAATGAAATAACTTGCCCAACATTGTCTAGTTAATAAGCAGGGCTGGGATTCACAATCAGGCCCCAAAGAACTCATCTGGTGGTCAAATCCAGCACTCTCCCCACCCCCTACCCTGGTCAGGCCCCAACTGGCAAATCTCCCAGGGTGGATATCTGTAAAACTTCCCATGGCCTCATTTTGTTTCTTTACTTCATTCTGTGGCTTTTCATTCTGGTCACTGGCAGTCTTCCCATTTCAGGCAGCTCAGGCCAGCCAAGCTCCCAGGGACAGGCCAGCAGGGGGTGCTAGCGCCCATCCCAGAACTGCCCTGAGGAAATGCTACTCGGTGAAGAAAGAAGGTCCTGCCACCAACAGAGGGTTCCAGACAACAGGGAGGGGGGAAGACACAACCTACTGGCTCACAACCTGTACCTGTGGCCTGCTGGCTGGATGCCCCGGGACAAAGGACTTCATCTCCATGGCTGAGGTTTTCATGTCTGTAAGGGGAAAACACATCTCCCAGAGAAAGGAAATAAAATGTAGTAATGTGGTGGAAGTTTCCAGCACAGCCCCTGGCACGAAGCTCTTAGTTGGATTTGCATCTTTATCAACAGACATTCAGTGATTCTCATGGGACTATCATTTCAGATTCTTCCCGAACCACGTAAGTCCTCTTTTGGACTCGACTGCCTTACTCCCTTTGCGCCATCCTTTTAGGCCTTTCCAAGTATTCTTTCTGTACCTCAGGGCACTCTCAGGCCCCACATAGACTACACAGGGTGCTTGATTCAAAAGGCCCATGAGGGCCTCCTTTCATTTGAAAATTCCTGTGAGCCAAGTGTAAATTCAGGAACATCGCACCTTCCTCTGTCTTCCTCTGTCTCCTGGCCTAAGAGCCAGTCCCAACCCATTCTGCCTGCCTGTGTGTCAGGCAAAGCCCCATGCTGGACAGCGATACAGAGAGGAGTGACACAGTCATGTCAGAGAGAGATGGGCAGATTCAGGACAACTTATGTGCCAATCTACAGAGATCCCCATCCAGAAAGGGCATCTAATCCAGGTCCCAAGATCCCAGCGGCAATCATGTCACGAAGGATGAATTCTTTCCACTTCACAGACTGACCTCCAACCCCAAGGCCAGAGAGGGAAGAGTGGATCGAGACTGGATTGCAGGTGTGACAACACTGCTGTCTCCCTTATCCTAAGCAGGCTGGGGCCCCTTCATGGTGTTCTTTTGCACAGGCTCTAAAATATCAGCTAAATGTAGGTAACCATGGCTGAAGATGCATCTCCCGCCTTGTCCTTGCAAGGGGCTGTTTCTCAGGGACGTCCTAATTTTTTTATATTTGTAATCTTCGCTGTGTCACGATTATAATCACCATGGGAGCTGGGACCTGTACATAAGACATCTTGGTTCTTTTTTCATCCCTTTCCCCTCCACGCCTTCCCGCCCCTCCATCCCCTGCTCCCCCCCCTTCCATTTGCAACATGCTTCTCAGTAACTGTGGGCCCTAACGATGGCAACAATGGCTGAGGCACAACAGCCCCAGCCCTAACCCATTTGGTGGCCCGACATCTCAGGGCTGTGACCCTTGGAATCTGAGCATGGTTCTGCACGGTGTCTCTTCCACGGTATTTTTGTCCTTTCTCATGAAATTGCACACAAGCCACGAGATGAAACAATGATTTCATGTACTCAGTGTCTCCCCTGCTTCACCCGAGGCTGAAGAATTTTGCAGTAAATCTTCAGCTTTACAAGAACATGCAAAGGGAAGAATTAGGGAACTCAGGCAATCCAAAACCAGCTAAATGAGGGTTTTGGGGTTTTTTTTTTTGTAATGTAAAGCAGTTCCAAGAAAAGTGAAGTCACAGGCTCGGTTGCTTATTTTCAGTTCTTAGAAAAGAGCTAATTTCAAAAGGGAAGCTGCACTGCCCCAGACCCTGAGCTGGTCACCAGTCATTTGCTGTCTGCCAGCACCGTGATGACTCTGTTTGGCACCAGCAACCTAGAGCCTTTGGATCTATTTTCAGTTGGTGATGTCAAGGAAGAAGCACGAGATGAAAGAGTGAGAGTTCTAATGTTTGGAGAAAGAAACCACAAGCTGAGGTGGCGTAGTTCCAGGGCAGGGGCAGCGGCCATTGGGGGGGCTCTCGGATAAGGCACACAGCACCCTCCTTTGCCCAGCCCGCATACTCCTGATGTACTGACTGCCTGGCAACAATGGCGACCCAGCCAGCCATTTGCAGTCCAGTGTTATTTGCCAGAAGTCAGGGGAGGACATGTTAGGCAGGGTCTGGTCAGCATGTTCTTGGCAGCCTGGGGCAGCTTTCCAGCAAAAAGAAAAGTGAGTTTCAGATGAGGCGGACCCCAACCGGGGTATGTCCAGCACACCCAGCCCCAGGGCTGGGGGAACAAAAATGGTTTCACGACAAAGTTTGGCCGTAAGAATCCTTTAACAGAGATCCAGTGACCCGCATCCAAATTCATTTTGGGCTGAGGGTTTGGCTCAGTGTCAGAGCGCTTGTCTGGCTTGTGTGAGGCCCTGGTGTCCATCCCCCCCCCCCCCGAAACGATACATTTCAGTGCAATCAAGAGAGCCCGGGAAGACAGGACAACTGAACAGAACGCATGTCCTGGATGGAACCCTGAAACAGAAAAGGACATTAGAAAAAAAAAAAACAAATCTGAATAAACTACTGATTGGAGTTAATAAGGTCTTCATATTCCCCCATTCATTGTAACAAATGTGCCATACACCATACTAATGGAAGATGTTAATGGCTGGGGAAAGTAGGTGCAAGAATATGGGAAATCTGTACTAACTCTACAAGTTTTCTGTGAATCTAAATATTTAAAAATACATGCGTACGCACACACACACAAAGGCAATGATGGATGTAAGCAAGAATTTACTGCTTTCCAGCAACAATAGTTTTGTGCCTAGCATATACCATGCACTATGTAAAACTAATTTATATACATCCTTATTTCTCACACTAGTGCCATGAGCTAGGTGTGACATATTTTATAGATAAGGAAGAGAAGAACAGAGAGGTTAGATAACTTGCTCATAACCACACAGCAAATTTAGCAACAGATGAAGGGCTCAACTTCAGGTCTACAGGGCTCCAAAGCTTGCATTAATGTGCAGCAATATTGCTTGAAAAACTCCACTCTGTGACATAAACCAGCTCAAAACAAGCTTCCACCAGTCAACAAGCCCAGATCAGTAATAAAAACAAAGCACACTTTCCAATTTGCCCTACCTTTAAAAGAAAACACTGATAGTTTTAAAAACATAGATAATCTGAATCATTAACACTAATGCTGGTGAGGATGTCTCACACACTGCTGGTGACAATGCACAATACAGCCGCTTTGGGAGAGACTGGCACTTTCGCAGAAGGCCTAACTGCAGACTCACCCCATGAACCAGCAGTGGTACTCCTAGCCACTTACCTCGATGAGGAGAAAACTTTCTGTCCACACAAAACTGCACCACAGCTCCCTTCATGATTCTCAAAGACTGGGATCAAACAAGATGTCCTTCAACAGGTAGACTGGATGAACAAACTACGTGCATATAATGGAGCATCACCTTTGGTGACAAAAAGAAATGCTGCAAAAAGACATGGAGAAACTTTGAATGCACTTTAAGTGAAAGCAGCCAGGCTATAAAATCTACATACTGTATGAACCAACTATATGATACTCTGCAAAAGGCAAAACAGGAAATAGATCAGTGGTTGGGAGGTTGATGAAAGGAGGGAACATGGAAGATCTTTATGAGATTGATCCATGTCATTATGCATTTGTAAAACCCACAGAATGTAGCACACAGCAAGAATCCTAGTGTAAAAGCTGGCTGATAAGAATATATCAATGTAACAATGTAATCAAATGCCCATCAATAGTAACAAATGTGTCACACTAACAGATGTTAATAATAGAAGCTGGGGAGGAGAGTGTGGGGCATATGGAAACATATATATACTTTCTGCTTGATTTTTCTGCAAACCCAAAACTGCTTTTAAAAATAAAGTTTATTTTTAAAAAACACAGCACATAAAAATTTATTAGTGGTACAGTATCAATAATTCAGGCAAAACTCTACTGCAATGTTGGAATACAGTATGACTTCCTTGGTATTTATACTCTAAAGATAAATCCAGCATGTGTAATAAAGAAGTAGGGAACAGAAATCCAACATTCAATACAATCATAACACAATTCATTCCGTACAAAAAGATGTAAGAACTCTAAACCAGGAGATTGCTTCCTTGCTGTGTCTTGACAGCTATGAAACAGAAGTTTAGGTAAAGTAATGAAAGTTGTTCTCATTCTCGGTTTTTTAATTTCAAAGAGAAATTCTGACAACATCTAAAACTGCCCCCCGCCCTGTGAAGGAAGCTAGCTAACCAAAATGGTTCCTCAATATCTGGGTGGGATCTGAAGCACAAAGACAGCTGAATGTGCCCGGCATGGTGGTGTACGTTTATAATCCCAGCATCTGCTTTTCATCAGCAAACACAGTCAAAGCAAGGGACAGTGGAGGCCGAGTTAACTGCAGCCTCCTAACCCTTAAAAATCCCTGCATCCAGACGCCTGCGTCAACCAAAGCAGTTCTCTCTGTGGCTCTTTTGAGAAATACACAATGTCGATAAAATATACATGAGTGATGTCCATGAATCCACACAGTCAGAACTGAGATCATTACGGGGGAAAGGTTGTTTGTAATGCCAGTTCCAGTGTCACCTAAGGAATGTTCCTGTGTAAATCCTCCACTTCCAGTTCCCACATGCTTTCGTGGAGGGGATTATCGGAAAGATCTGTCATCTTCACAGCTTGAAGGCACGGCTCGGGGCTACAGGCCTGCACCACTCCCATCACCATCACATACTTTCCTAGGAAAAGGAGGAAAGCCTGTGGTAATGTGCATGTGAACAAGAGGACTGGGGACCACCCTCCGCCCTCGACCACCCAATAAAGTCAGAGAAAGAAATCGGAGACAGCAGAATTCCAGGGCTAGAGGTGTAGCTCAGTGACAGAGCACTTGTCTGATACAGGCGAGGCCCTGGGTTCCATCCCTAGTACCGCAAAGAAGCAATTAATTAAATTAAAATTTGGATAGTAGATATCAAAACAAAGGCAGTGACAGAATATACACATGTATGAATGAATTCAGTATTTAACCTGGAAAATGACATCTGCATCTTCTTTGATTTCTGGTTTTAACATGTTAAACAGAACTGTGAAATACAATGTTATCATGCCCAAGGAATGGAGACCACATCCGGGGAAGTTAGAATCAGACAGACCACCCCGAGCAGGGCAGAAACTCCAAGCTTCTCTCTAGTTCTGCTCTTTGCTCAATGCCATAGAGTATCTGACTAGTTTCTGTGAACAGAACAGGTTCTTTTTCTGCGGAGCCACTCCTAGACAGCTGAAAAGCAAATCCAATTTTCCCTCAGTGTTGCCACAATGGTCGGGCAGGCATCAGCACACACTACCATACACTGCTACACTGTTCCAATCTCCCAGGACCACTCCCTGCCACTTCCAACTGTATCTGAGCACCCCTGCATCTGAGCACACACAAGCAAATCAAGGAGAGGTCAGGCTGCCAAAAGGGTGACAGAATGACGTATTAACCACGATTCTCTTCCCACTCCCTTGGGGAAGTGACTCTCCTTGAAAGCAAAACTTGGCCAGACTCAAATCACACAAAATGCAATTGTGTAAAAAAATTCCCCAAACACAGCAAGAGGGACAGGCAGGCTGCCAGCCCCTCTGCATGCCCTGCTCCCATCGTCAGGGCTGAGTGAGCTCAGGCTTTGGCCGAGGGAAGCCAGGCAAGCTGCCTGTGACCCTCAGGTATCCACCCCAGGCAGGATGCACTTAGGGCTTTCTAAGACTACCTCCAGATTTCGCTCTAGTTCCTCAGTGACAGGGGATACAGTATTTCTAAAACTACACTTGCCATATTCTGTCGATAGCCATAAAGTGCTAGTAGAGATGATACCCTCAGCAACCGAAGGACTGTGAGGCTGAGGCAGGAGGACAGCAGGTTGGACCCCAGCCTGACCAACTTAGTGATTTAGCAAGACCCGTCTCAAAGTAAAAAACAAGGAAAGGGCTGAGGATGTAGCTCAGTGTGAAGGCCCAGGGTTCAATCCCCAGTACCACACACATACACACAGAGACCCGGGAAAGGTGAACAGGAGACCTGCTAGGAGACACAGCCAGATGGAGGCAAGAGCCTCGAACACTGTGACTAATCCCACTCATTCCACCCACACCCTCCTGCCATGAAGCAGCTCTCCAGGCTGCCTCCCCTCCCAAATCCTCCATCCTCTTGCCTTGGCCATGCCAGTGGCACCAGTGGTCTCCCTCTCCAGCTCTTCTGCTCCCCACCTGGCCAGTGTAATCCTTGTTCCTGGGGCAGCTCCTGCCTCAGAACTTTGCCACCCAGTGCAGCCTAGGGGGACAGTGTTCCTCGGCTCAGCCTACAGACGGGGCAGCTGGAGGGCAGGGAAACTTCTCACCAGATTGCATCTTCAGCACTCAACCTTTCCAAAGAGAAGCTGCTAGGGGCTCCAGAGACTGAGCAGCGCCAACAGTGTGAGCATCAAGGCCACCCTGCAGCAGGGAGGGCCCTTCACCAACAGCCACAGGGCTCATCAGGGTGGGACCCCCCACACCCCTTTCACTGCTGACCCCGTAGCACCCCACTATCCCCTGCCTCCAGAATTCCAAGGAACCTTGCTGTTCTGTGGAACTGAACGGTCCCCTGTCACTGAACACAGACACAAGATGACAGACTGCCCAGCTCTAACACTGGAAGTTCTGCATCCCAGGGCGCTCTCAGTCCCGTGCAATCCAGGAGACTCGGTCCCCACAGATTATGCCAACTGGAACTTCAGGGGTGCCTTCCCCAGGAAGCCATCCCCAGACTGCTGAGCCTGGACCAGCCGTCCCTCTGTGCCACTTTCTGCCCCCAAGTAAACTCCAGACAGACCAAAAGAGGTGGACGAGAACAAAAGCAACCCCCCCCCATGCTCTGCAGCCAGAGTCCTTCTGAGGAGCCTGAGAGGTCAGCAGTGGCTAAGTCCCCGTGTACTTTTGTGGTGCGGGACTGTCCTAAGCACCTCACATACACGGAAACTGCCACTCTCCTGACTGTGAGGCAATGACATGAGCACCCTCTGAAAAAGAAAAAAAGGAGAGTCGTCCTCCACTATGTCCTGGGCTCACCTCTACAACAGTCTTTGCATCACAGTGACCTGTTTACTTCCCTGGCTCTGTGCCTGAAGGAATGACTTAGTTTTATAAAACCATGAATTAGCAAGAGATATGACATGGCTGCTACCTGCAGGTATGTGGGCCCATTTGCCTAAAACACGAAGGTATCTACTGGGCACGAGGCTTACACCAGAGCTGGGGAATGACTCGGGTGACTGCCCAAGCCCATCTTCAAGGGACTGCCTTGGGGCTGAGACACGAAGCAGCATGAATGAAGTTTGAGGGCAAAGCTAAGGCCAACTTTTTCTCTAAAGGACCAGACAGTAAGTATTCCAAGCTTGTGGGGCGTAGGGACCCTGCTGTCACTACTCAACTCTGTACTTATAATGGTACAGCAACCCTATATATTAGGAATGTGTTTCAATAAAACTTCACTTATGGGCACTAACATTTGAATTTTACAGAGCTTGCACAAGTCATAATTTTTTTCAGCCATTTAAAGATGTGAAAAGCATTTTTAGTTTGCAGGCTATGTGAAAAAGAGACCCAGGCTTGTCATCTGCTAATTGTGTGCTGGAATGCGGCCAGAGCCCAGGGCAAGGGTGGCACAGGGAGGGAGCTGGAGCCTGCAGTGAAGTCACAGGTGACTGGAGCTTTGGCATAAGCAATGTCAAGGCCATCATTTACCATGGAGTCCACACAATAGGCAGGAATTGTTGCTCCTTCTCACAGAGGGAATCCACACTCAAAGGTTAAAAGTGTACCAGACAGCTCAGCAGGGAAGGTGTGGGGCCAGGAGTTCAAATTAAATGTGAGTCCAAAGCCATCCTGGAAAGACCACTGACCTATCCTGCCTGTACTTGGGTGACTCTGAATAGAAAGGCCCCTTGGGGATAAAGTGACCTTGGCCTGAGTTCACAAGGAAGGGAACCATGGAGAAGAAAGACCTATAGATTCTTTAGACTTCCTAAGCTTAACCCACACATCCTCTAGCAGCCTCCCTGGACCATGCTGTACCTCCACAAGGATCAGAGATCTTCCCAGTGTGTCTTCCTAGCTGGCCTTACCTCTCTGGGTGTTGGCTGCAGCCCAGGTGCCTCACACAGGCCTACTGCACAAGTGACGCTGGCAATCAGCGAATGTGTCAGATGAGAGCCTGATGCCCAGTGCTGTCACTGGTTCTTGGAGGTCTATGAGTCAGGCACGGGGCCAGATGCTGAGTTGGTGCTGTGAGAACCACACAGCCAAGAACATGACTGGAGCTGACTGGAAACACACCCTCTCAGCCTCCCCTCCACTTTGGACACAGAAACCCTGGGCTTTTCCATGTCCCCCAGGTGAGCCTGATGTGCTTAGGTCTCATCCAGGACCAGGCATGAGTGAATTAGGACAGTGTCTCAAAGGAGAGGGACAGGAGGGTCCTTTCTCGGGGGTCCCAGCAGCTTCCCCCAAGGAAGGTGCGCTTGAGTTGGGATAGTAAAGATGTATAGGCGTCTCCTAGGGCAGTATTTCCCAAAACTTAATGGGAAAAAATGAAAACCGTGGGGAGGGAGCTTGTGACAAACACAGAAGGCCTGGGATCTGGACTAGGGGGGCCTGCAGAGTCCCAGGAACCTGTGTATCTCTTTAGGGGCTGCGGGTGACGCCCACACCCATCGCGTGGGGCCACCTGTCTTTGTGGGGAGGCCGAAGGTGACAGGCAGGCCCCGTTCCTGAGCGCGACTCACCCTTAGCCCCTTGGCCGGGTCCGAGCCCGAGCCCGAGCCCGCCTTCGGGAGCGGGAAGAGGCCGGGAGTTACCTGGGACCAGACAAGGCCGCCCTCGCGGCACCCGCTCCAGGCCGCACACAGAGAAGGCCCCGCTCGGGTCCCGCAGCCGTGCCTCGCAGCGGCCCACCTCCACCATGGTGCCCTGCATCCACACGGCCGCCAGCTCCAGCGGCGCGCGGCCTGCCGCCGCCCGCGACAGCCGCCATGCACCTGGGGCGCCCTCCACGTCGCGTCGCAGCTGCTCCGCCAGCACCTTGAGCGGCGGCGACCGCGGGACCCGCACAGCCGCTGAGCCGCCGCTAGTGGAGGAATCAGTAGCAGAAGCCATTCTGCGCACTGCCGTTTTCCCGCCAATTTTGATAGGCAGTGAGGCTTGGCCTGCGGTCACCAATCAAAAAGGTGCTGGTGCAGCTGACCAATGGCCTGGGTCGGGAGACGGGACTGCCGAGCTGAGCCGCCATCTTTTTGTCTCTAGGAGTGCGCATGCGTACATAAAAGTAAATAAACGCCCTCAAGTTAGGAGCTACTGGGAGAAAGGAATTAAAATAAGTGAAACCAGGACGGTAGAGAATTTCCTCTTCCAAAGCTTCTCAAAATTTAGTATGCACGCAAGTCTCCTTGGAAGATATGATTATCTTACTTAGTCTCGCAGCTCAGTACTCTGAAGTTAGTAAATACTAGTGAATACTGAGATGAATGGAGAGCCCTTGCGTATTGTGAGTGAACATGAATTGAATCAGGAAAAAATTGTGCGGTCCTGGATATTCTGATTGCCATGATTTGATCATTACACAAAGTACCCATGTATCAAAACATCACAACAACAACAAAAATCACATCGTTTCTGAAAAATATGTACAATTGTTATGTGTCAATTTAAAAATCCAGAATAAGAAAAAAAGTATAAAAATTCCTCAAAGATAGCTGAACAAGGCATGGTAATGCATGCTTGCAATCCCAGCACTCCCTTGTAATCCCATCACTTGGGAGGCTGAAGCAGGAGGATCGCTGCCAGTTTGAGGCCAGCCTGGGCTACTTAGTGAGTTCAAGGCCAGCCTACAATACATAGTGAGACTGTCTCAAAAAAAAAATCACACACACACACACACACACACACAGATGATTTTTTTTTTTTCTGTGGATCTGGGGATTGAACTCAGGACCCAGCACCTTCACACTGAACTGCACCTGTAGCCTCGTTTTATTTTTTGTTTGTTTGAGAAACAGTCTAGCTAAGTTGCCCCAGCTTGATTCTAATTTAGAATCCTATCTCAGCCTTCCAGAGTGCTGGGATTATAAACATGCACAACCATCTCTGGCTGTCTATATATTTTGTTTTCTTTTGCTTTTTTGTTTTTGAAGGCTGGCCCTGAACTCACTATGTAGTCCAGGCCGGCCTTGAACTCATGGTGATCCTCCTGCTTCAGTTTCCCACATACTGGAATTACAGGCATGCACTGCCACACCCAGTATACATATATGCTATATATATATGCTTTATATATATATGCTTTTGATACACATTGTCTTATATATTGTTTTCACTTAATTATGAACATCTTTCCACATCGATATTCATCTGCTTCCTCTTGAATGACTGCATAATATTCTGTTTGTCTTATCACATGTTAACCAATATCCAATGGTAAGCATTAAAGCTATTTCCAATTTTTCATTTTATAAGTAATAACTACAGCTAAATTTTTGTGCACATCTTTAAATGAAATTTCTGGAAATTTCTTTCTCAATATTGGATGTCTCTAATCAGCAAAACACATAAACCCTAAACCAGCAATTCGTAAAGCCAAGAATGGTTCTGAAGGGAGATTGTCCTCACAGGGCCTCTGTAGTACCAGGTATCCACAGGGTATTCAAAAGAGCTTGGCTTTTATAAAGCACCTAAAACCTATTGAGCCAGGTCCAAAGAACTTGATAGGGAGTATCCTATACACCACAGATCCTATAAGAACTGTTCTACAGAGCTGGGTGTGGTAGCACACACCTGTAATCCCACCACTTGGGAGGCTGAGGCAGGAGTATCACCATAAGTTCAAGGCCAGCCTAGGCTATGAATTCAAGGCCAGTCTGAACTACCTAGCAAGACCCAGTCTCAACAAAACAAAACAAACGAAAGAACTGTTCTACACAGGTGAGGAAACTGAGGCTCATGGAAGCTAGGTGGCCTGCTGTGGCCTCTCTGGCAGTAGCCTCTATGGGATCTTGGCCTTTACACTTCAACCCTGTGCTGTAGAGCAACCAGGCTCCTGGGCTGAGGAGGGAGCACGAATCCATCCCGGCAGGCTTGGGGGTCACCACTGGCATCTGAAGGCCAGTGAGTGGTGCGGAAGGGGGCTGAGATGCAGCTGGCCTCCCAATCCTACTTCTCACACACCACACCACACCACACCACACCACACCATGCAGCCCAGTGGAGTCTCCAAATCCCAAGTCTGAGCCTATGGTGCTGGGCTGTAACCTGTTGGTGTGATCCACACACCAGAGTGAGCATTCCAGGCAGAAGGAACTTCATGTGGAGGGCTCTGAGGAGGGTGCAGAGAGAGCTGGAAGCATTCAGTAAACTGCCATTATTTCAGAATGGCTGGCATACAGAGTAAAACTGGAGGGGTGGGGATAAATCAGGCTGTGCCTACGTAAAAATCTCATTTTATCCCCATTTTACAGATAATGAAACTGAGGTTTGAGCCCATGGCAAGTCTGAGATCTCGTGGCTAGTAAGTGGTAGAGCCAGAACTCAAACCCAACACTATTTGACAAAAAACTTCACATTTCTTTAACCACAGGCTCCATCTCCCTTGCCTACCCTATCACCCCTTTTTCTCTCATCAGGGTCCCTCCGGGTCTTTGCCTACACCACCCCTGCCTGGCACACCTTCTGCAGAGCTCTCAGTTGAAAGCTGGCTCAGCCATCAAGTATCTGTCCACCAAGACCCCTTCTCTCCAGGGAGCAGGTCTTGAGCCCCACAACTGGAATTAATTCCTGCCTTCCAGACCAGTTTGCTGATGACCTAACCAAAGGTTTCTCCACCTTAGCCCTATTCATTTGGGGCAGGATAATCCTTTGTTAGAGATGAATGTCCCATGTGCGTGGTAGGGTGTTGAACAATGTACCTGCCCTCCCCTCACTAGAAGCCAGCAGCACCCTCCAAAGATATGACAGCTAAAAAATGTCTCCCAACACTGCCAGTGTCCCCCAGAGTGGTCAAACTGTCCCCACTGAGAACCACTGTCCTAAGCTATTCACTACACTCTGTCTTGAATCATAGATACTGGAGTCTGTGTCCATGTTACCAACCAGGCCAGGGGCTCAGGCTCAGTTGCCAACAGCAGCCAGGCAGGTAACCCTGGCATAGCAGTGACAAAGTGGGCTTCAAAATGTCTGGCCCAGTCACACTCAGCCAATGCTTGTCCCACAGGAGGAGGGCCGAGTGTTTCCAGATCTGATTTTTCAAGATACTTTAACGTCTGTTTTCTACATTAAAAAAAGAAGAAATGTTGGCAACAAATTCAAGTCTAAAACAAGCAAATGAAAAGAGACCCTGTGGCCCCTGAAAGTCTGTGGGCCTCTGTGGGCCAGCAGTGGCCATGCCGCAGTCTGCATTTTGTCTCTAGTGAGTGCGCTCCCTCGGGCCCAGGGCAACTTGTGTGGTAACCAGTGTGCAGCTCTGGGCAGCCTCCTGCAAAGTGTCCAGGGGCCATGCTGGTTCACCAGCTTCAGGAGTGGCAAACTCTGTGTCTTAAGTCACTGTCCAGAGCAGACATCTGGGTCACGCTGGGCAGGCTCCCGCCCAAGGATCATTCCCCATAGTGCACTGAGCTCACCCCTCCAGGCCTGGGGGAGGTGCTCATGCAGGCCTTGGGGGCCAGCTTCTGAGCAGGGTCAAGGCCCTTGGAAGGGGACAAAGGTAAGCCAGGAGACGTTATGGGCCTGGCTACACCCTCAATCCACCTGTGTTCTGTCCTCCACAGAGCAGGCAAAAGTGTGCTCCTGGTTGTCAGAAAAGAACACTGATGCCCAAAGACAAGGGGTTCTGCCAGATGTCTACACAGCGACACACTTGTAACAGCACAGCTGCCACCCCTGAGCCCTTACTGTGTGCCAAGCTGTTCTCACACAACACTAAGGAATTCGTGCTAACTTGAGCCCATTTTAGAGATGAAGAAATTGAGGCTTGGATGGGTGATATGACCTGTTCACCAACCAATTCTCACCTGGAACAAAGGGATCCTCTTGAGGGTCTTTCAATCATCAGGCGTCCCTGTGAGGGATGGGAGTCTTAACCTAAACTTATCAACAGATTCTGGCTCTTGACCATGATCCTGGAGTGTTACCAGCAAAGAATTCCCATGGAAATTTTTCTTTCCTTGTGTTTTTTGAGATAGGTTCTTGCTGTGTAGCCTAGGCTGGCCTCAAACTCTCAATCCTCCTGCCTCAGCCTCCTGAGTGCTGGGATTATAGGTGTGCCCTTGGCAGAATTTTATTTTATATTTTATTTTATGAGTACTGGGGATTGAACCCACAGCCGTCACACTCAGCTACATCCCTAGCCCTTTATTTTTTTATTTTTTAGTTTGAGACAGGGTTCACTAAGTTGGTAAGTTGCCCAGGTTGAGCTTGAATTTTTGACCCTCCTGCCTCAGCCTCCTGAGTGCTGGGATTATAGGCATGTACCACCCACCTAACAAGAAAAAAATTTTTTAATAGAGTTATCATGAATAAAACAAATCTTGACCTTCAGTTAATAAAATGGCTGCCAAAGTATGTGTGGGAAGAGAGTGTAGACATTTGCAACTTACTCTAAAATGCAACACAGACTCATGTGGATTAGTGGGTGGCCAGAGGGGAGAACCGGCAGATAGAACCACGATAAGCCGAGTCTGCTGCTCCCTGTGGAATGTGTATGGTGGGCGCATGCTGTCCACTGCACATTTCTTTCCCTAATGCAATGTCCAGGAGGAACTCCAGGTTCCAGGGCACACGCAGCCTTCCTGCCTCTAAACCTCTGTAAATGGGACTCAGGGATGATTCTGAGGCCCGGCTCACCCACTGCTCCCCTCCCACTGCTCCCCTCCCACACCGAGTAGCAAGCAGGCTTCTGTTCCCTCCTTCACAGACTCTCTCCAGAAGGTCCCTGTTAACTGAGGTTCTGGGCCTCTGGCGCCCCCTTTTCTCCACTCTCATCACAGCATGGGGTCCTCCTTTCCACAGGGTGGGGCTGGGATTCTGGGCAGAACAAGGCGAGCTGCATGCTATCCAGTCCTCCTGGGCACCAGTGTGACCATGCACCAGAGCCAGGTCTGCTCACTGCCACACACCACTGTGGTCTGGCTGCTTGTGTCCCCCTCAACAGTCTGTATGTTGAAACCTAATCCCCATTTTACAGAAAGGGGAGACTGAGGTCCAGAGAGAGGTTTAACTTCCCCAGGGCAAAG